AAATCTATTAACACTAAGTGAAAAGATTAGCGCTTAGAAGCTGCAAAATCTATTAACACTAAGTGAAAAGATTAGCGCTTAGTGACTGCAAAATCTATTAGCATTGCCGACTTGTCTTAGTCTGGACACTTACTGTTTCCACACTTGAGTGTGAGACATGAGGAGAGGCTTCTTTGTATGATTCCTTAGCTAGGCTAATGTTTTTGAATAACGTTTACCACTAAGTGCAAACGTTGCAGCATAGTAATGAAAAGGTCAAGGCTGACAAGGTTGTTATGACTCTAAGAATTTGACGCATCGCTTGTAAGAGCATTGTGTTGAATTAGACTCTTTAGCCTAATTCGCGCTTAAGTTACTTCAGGAGTTGTCATAGTTGATAGCTTATTCTCTCATTCTTGTGGATAGTAGAATTAATTGTAAGTAACTATGAAGCGAGAAATAGATATGGCAGGAGGAGTATCATTATCTTTCAACTAGATGCATTAAAGTGTATGGAGAATAAAATTGACTTGAAGGCGCAGGGGATTAGCACTTACTAGTTAAATTTGCGACTTAGGCACACTTAATATCTCCATGACATCCTTTTATGATCTAGTGAATATGAATTAGTCGTGAGTCATTACCTAGTTGGGCCTAAACCTTTAAAACTTGTCTTCAAAAACTCACACATTAGGATGAGTGGAATTAGTTTATGACATTGGTCATGAACCGGTGGCTTATTATACTTAATCACATTAATGAGAAGATGTATGGATGTTTGGAGTAGGCCCTCTTGGGCCCACTCGCTTGTGACATCCTGCTCTCATATGAATGTGTAACTTTGTTCGTAATGGTTGCATACAAGTAAGTAGGAAAGCCGTAGAAGGTCATTTGTATTGGCGCATTTAGTCCACTATGATATTTGTGACTAGATATGTGTAAGGGTATGATAGCTAAGCCTCAATCTCGACACATTTATAGATTACGATACGCATCTGAGTCAAGACTATTTGATCTCCCATAAGTCAAAAGTTTTGAGATGATTTTTGACATTGCACATATGAGATTGAGATCAATTAGATAACAGCTTTCGTGTTTTTATTTTTGACCAAGGTGTCGAGTATCTATTTGAGTTATTTTAGAAAACTTTGTGAAGAGAAATGGATGCTTAGAAAATTGATTATTCTTAATACTCAACAACACAATGGTGTAGTAGAGATAAGGAATTAAGTATTGTTAATGCTAGGTGGATGATGGCGCAAAATGTTTCCCAATTGGGAATCACACTTTAGTTTGTTGCCTATATCCCTAACTAAATGCCCTTCATATCAATTTTTTCACTCCATTTGAGTAATGGGTTAGCGGAGAGCCATCTATGGGCGATCTGTAACCGTTAAGCAGCTTATCTTTATTTTACTTCTCATAAGGTTGTGAAGTTAAGACCTAGAGTTCTATGGCGCATTATTGTATGCTGTCTTGTAAACACATAGGGTCACGTGGCGCATCCTTGTATGCTATCATGAAAACCCTCCGGGTCATGTGCAAATAGGTAAGCAGCTTTGTGGTAGTGTAACTAAGTCACATAAAGTTTTCTTAGTAAAGGTGACATGAATAGAGGTTTTGGAACTCTATAAGATAGAGAATTCTAAGCATAGCGCTCTATGTAGCCTAGTTGAGAATGGAAAGAAATTTCCAATATCCTAGGGATAGTGGGAGCGATATGCCTACTAATGGATTACTCCATTAGAGAAGAATACTCTACATTCTTAGTTGCGTAGTAACGAATGTGAAAATTTTCCACGTCATCACTGGGTGATTGAGAAGGAAACATTCATGATTGCTCCGCAAGATGATAAAGAGCCTAGGATAATGCCAAAGGCTCTAGTCCCCTATTTTTAGAAAGTGGATCAATTGCGCAGTTTAAGACAAAGTATTTGAGGATTAACCATTTTTATAATTTGGTTGACTTTCCATTATGACGCAAAACTGTTATAAAGTTATGCGTAATTTGGATAGTCATTGTTGAGGTATAGGGCTCGCTAGATACCGAAAAGTCGCACCATTAAAGAAAGTGTAGACCATGAGAAGACTTCCTCCTGGGGAGTGAGGTTATTTTGACTTAGGCTATGATTGACGTAAGTTCGGAACATTGTGACCCAACTTTCTTGTTAGAGAATTGGATAAGTAGATCCGTAGGGATTTACCTTCTACTTTTATGGTGAAAAGTTAGGAGCGCAAAAAGGTTGTTAGTTCCAATAAATCTTTTACAGCCTAAAACAATTATCCAAATAGTGGTTCTTAGATTTCGCCAAGCCATGATAGGCCAACGATGATCAATGAAGACCACTGAGGCATGATCAATGGTCCAAAAAAAGTTTTTCCTTACTTAGTCATTATAAGCCAAGAATTTATAAGGTTGTCGCCACCTAGGGTGGGCAGTCCTCTGTTTTAGATATAATGGACATAGGTGATGTAATTTATATGCTCGGATGTACGATCCTTAGGGATTGTTTTGGGAGAATTCATGTTTTGTCTTCGATGACTTACATAAGGAATATCCTAGAACGATTCTAGATGCAAAATTACAAACCCATTGACTTACCTATCGGTAAAAGCCAGAGCCTTAGCTATTGAGTGAATCCTCGGATTGTCTTTGGGAGAAACAAATTACCTATATTCCTTGATCTTTTCTTTGTTGTGGGAGCCTAAAGTACGCTATGCGGGCGTATTCGGCATGATAAATGTTATCTTTGGTAAATGGTCAACCGAGTTGTTTAGACATTGACCTTGCTCATTAGACTGTGGATAAACTGTTTTACTAGTAGTATATTAATTTACTCCTTGTAAGATTCAATGCGCTAGTTGGGCGTATTAAGAATGAACGCAAATTGGTCACCAAAATATCTTTAGAGAGGTTATTGCGCAAGAGGTAGTGATCTTAAATCACTTCATGTGAGGCGCACATGGTGAATTCCGTTGTATATACTTATCACAAGAGGTGCCGATAAGGCTTATGTTTGGAATCTAGAATTGTGATCTTGAATCACTTCATGTGGGGCGCACATGGTGGATTCCGTTGTATATACTTATCGCAAGAGGTGCTGATAAGGCTTATGTTTGGAATCTAGAATTTCGCAAGCTATGGTCAAATTTTTTTAAAATCGATCACTTATTTTGAGATGATGGGATGTTGACACTATTATGGTTTGTGTCATAATGATTAGCAGATGATGATGTTAGCAGGCAAGATTGGCTCACTCACACGAGCAATCGCCCTTGGCGCTTGGGAGCGAGCAAGGATGAGATTAGTGGTTTATTTTTATTTGGAGCCAAGAGAGGCTTAAATAATCCACTATTCATGTCGCCTTGGTTACAACCAAGATGAGGTCGTGTTAAGGACCGAACATGGATGTTAGTACCCACTTTCCATGTTGTGCCTGTTATGATTAGCCAGATACGAGATCTCATTTGGCGCCTAAAAGGCGAGCAAATAGAGAATTCGGGTTAGGCGCCAGAAAGCGACTAGACTAATATCTGTACGGTGTATCGAGTATGACGTCACTCTTTATGGAAGAGTTACTCCACCGTAGCATGTATTCATACTATATGTGCTTGGCGACCGAGTAATGAGATGAGAGAATGGATCCATGTTTCCTCACCGTGTGAGTCTTACATGTCATTATTGAATAAGGTAAGGGTTGATGTTCTGCTACTTTGGTATATTGCCTGCGGTCATGTATGATTCGGCTTTAAGGGACATCACTAGGAAAGCAGTCAATCCTAAACTAAATGGCATGAGGGCAAAGGGAAGATCATCTAGTATTATACCACTGTTGTATATTCACTGCTGGCAACTCACATTGCTCTGTATGAGAGGCGGATTAAGTGTGAATATATTGCAAGAATTGAGAAGGCCAAACATGCTCTTTTTGAGGGATTAGAGATGTTTTTTTTTTTTTTTTGACCGGTGTAATTAGATGGGTCTGGGGTATATGAGACACTATTTCTGTTCTTTTTGGGTTGATGTCACTATGCTAGCTCATTTTGAGTTTCTAGTATAGAGCTCCCACATGCAGGTGTTCTCAGTAGTCGCACAGTGCAGTGGCTAGTATGAGATTGTTCATTTTTGGAGAGATTGACATGTCCGAGTGGGAGATGTTAGAAATTGGGTGCCCATGTGGCATGACCCTTTGAACCTTTTGAACTTTATCCATGTAAGTTTGAATTTGAATTCAAAACTTACTTGGATAACCACTCAGGATATCCATATCTATCATATCAACTGATATGGATAGATGGGATATTATCCTATATATCTGATATGATATGGGATATGGGCGATTAAGAAAAAAACAACGTATGTCGTATGTTTTTTCAATAAACTGACTATCTCCCAAAATACAACGATCAAGAGCCATTTTGCACTATGACTTGTGTGGGTGATATTCTTTTTGTAATATCACTCTACTGCTGGGTTGATTGATCAGATTCAGGAAGCACGTGATTTACCCACGAGATCCTTCAATTCAGACTCTGCAGAAAAAGGTATGACCATAATTTTTCATTCGCTGCGTTATAGTTTGATTTACATGAATAATATAAGTTGTATAAAACCAAATAATTAAACTTCAGTAGAACTCATTTTCACCTGTAACAAATGAGTGAATGAAAGATGGTTCCAAGCTTGAGGTGTTTCTAGGATCATCCATGACATGGAATTGGGCATCTCAACACCCTGTGCATGGAGATGACTTGATCCATGTTCTTATCTTCGAACACAGGCACATAAAGAGGCATATTATCCTATATTATGCAAATTTGTATAAAATCAATAAGAAGTGTATGATTAAGAAAGAAAACATTTATAAACAGAAAATAACCTTTAACCTATATTGTACAATCTGTAATCGACGGTTGAGGGGCTGATTGAGATTCCATTTTGCGTCTACTTTTCTTTACTTTGGGTTACAATTCAACCCAACTCTTAGGCCTTTTTTTTCGGCCTACCCTTCCCTAGACTCTCATTTTTTTTTTAACCCATTCGCTTTAAAAACATGAGGTTGATTTTCTTCTGCAACCTTTTCACTTGATTTTTGTGGACATGAAGGTGCATGAGCATCATTTTCTTGTTCGTTCACACTAGCTTGTTTGCTTAAGACATCATCAATCTTTTTTGCCATTTCAATAGAATTTTTCAAAAGCATGCATGTAGTTTCTTTGCTTTCAACCGCACGACAACCCAACTTAATCAAACTCGGGCACAACATTCTATAATGAGCATTCATATCCAAATCAGCCACAACTTGTTTAGCTACACACCAATTATTTTCTTGCACCAATCCGTCTTTGGATTTTTTTGCCCATATCTTCAACAAGTAAGATTCTGGTATCTCTTTGATGTTCATCATGTCAAGGCCTTTGAAAGCATGGGAACACAAAATTCCACATCTCTCAAACAATCGACAAGTGCATGACACTTGAGGGCCTTGTGGGTTGGCTTTCACTTCACGAACCATAGGCTCATCAGGTGTCTTGACCATATAGTCATGTGAAAGGTTACTTTCATCTTGTTTCCAAGCAAAATCACGCAAGCTATTCAAATATTCTATCTTGAATAATTCAAAAATCTGGTTTGTGTAAAAATCTCCTGTATTAATCAACATGGGAACGGGTAATCCAATTCTCGGTAACTTTTGACGAGAAGCATATTCACATTCCAACTCTATGTGGTTAATATCATCAACAACCCTTTCAAAATGCTTAAAGAAATGCACTATTCCTAAGTCCGATTGCAAGAAATTACGAAGCTTGGCATTGAAGCTTTTACTTACTTGTGTAGTATTAGCCCAAGCCGACCAAACTGTCATAACATAAGGCTTTGCCCATTTTTCCCTCACCCCATATATAGTAGGCAACCAACTATTATCATGAACATCAAATCTGTCAAGCATTTCTTCCCAAGCAATGCAAAAGCATTCCTCATCCTCATAATTGTAAATGAATTTACTAAGCTCGGCACCAATCCCACCATGATCACCTACATATTTACTTCCCAAGTGCTTAATTGCATTTTGCTTCATATGCCACATGCATATTCTATGGAATGTGTCAGGCATAACCAACGAAATAGCCTTTGCCATAGCAGGGTCTTGATCGGTGAAAAATGTTTTCGGTTTCTTTCCCGACATAGCATCAAAGAAGCTCCTAAATAACCATTCAAACGAGGCAACAGTTTCATCATAGAGAAGTGCAGCCCCAAATATATCTTTCTATAATTGTTAAACCCCAAAAAAACTGCTAACGGACGATAATCCTTATGGGTTCTATATGTTGTGTCAAAACTAACAAGATCCCTAAACATACTATAGTCAATTATCATTTTTGGATCAGCCAAAAAGATGTTAGTAATTTGTTCTTCAACATCTGTCACGACCCAAACCCGGCCCTATGGGTTTAGCACCGTAACCGGCCAGTAATCCAAGATTACCGAAGGCCTGTTTAACAGAAGAACAATAAAACAGAGTACAGGGCCTGGCGGAAGTCAAAACAGTAATTAAACAATGCCCAATGAGCTGTGACAGTCTGTATGCAAAAAGACTTTCCATACATATATACATAAACAGTATAGAACAGTATGCACGATATTTACAATCATTCAGACTAGGGACTCAACCCTTCGCATCACAGTACAGTAAGCATTCAGTCTATACAAAACAGTAAGACAGTACAGAAGGGGGAATTGTAAAACACCCCTAAGCCTTAACACGATAGGCTTGGAACCTCGCAGTGAGGCATGGTAGTTGGCTTGACAAAACTGGAGTAACCCTGACGCTCCTAGCCGCGGTCTGGTGCCTGTACACCTACATATATATATGAGCAGTGAGCTAAAGCCTAGTGAATAACATAATGCGTAAAGGGGTTAAGAATGAATGTCCTTACAGTAATGAAAACAGCCTATTTAAACAGTATTTCAGTCGTTCAGTCAGTACAGTCATATGTGGTACATCCATTAGCATAACAGTACAGTAAACGGTAGGTCTTAAAAGATCGAACAGTAGTGATGGCCATCAATCAGTAAACAGTAGTGGTTCCAACAAGGGAACCGACAGAGATCTCTGTAACAGTAACAGTAAACAGTAGGTGCTAAGGATGCCACAATACAGTTCAGAATATAGGACATACATTCATTCAGTTAACAGTAATCAGTTCAGAAAACAGTACAGTTCAGTTGTTCAGAAGATAATCATTTGTGAACATATCTTTACACAATCGTTACTCACAAAGTTTTGGGCTACAGTATGCTAGAGCGTCTCCTCAGAAAGCCAACCCTACACAGTTAACAGATTGAACACACTAAGCTACACAACTGGGAAAGATAATAATTAAATCCCTAATTTACCTCAGTGTGTTCTACATCTATGTCCTCAACAAGATGCCTTAAACTAGGCCTAAGCATGCCTAGGATGGGATGAGGATGCAAAGATGTGATCAGAAAATAGTTTCAGAATTTCAGAAAACAAAGTCCCGCTCGAGCTCAGGTTTCCCCGCTCGAGCGGTCATGCAACAAAGGTACACGCTCGAGCGTCAACTTTCCCGCTCGAGCATACTGTAAAAGTACTAGATGGGTGAAATCTCCGCTCGACGGACGCTCGACGCCCGCTTGAGCTTAAGACACATGATTCCGCTCGAGCGTCCAATCCTCCGCTCGAGCGGACTATAAAACAGTGCAAGATGCTGGATGCTCGGATTCCACGCTCGAGCGTTTCTCTCTCCACTCGAGCGGGAGTGCAAAATCTGGAAATTCCAGATTGCACCTCCAACCTCAAACTCAAGTTCAAAAGCATCAAAACCGATCCTCTTGGGCTAATTTCTGGAAAAACACTTGTAAACACATGGAATAACATGATTCAAAACTCAATTTGAGAAATCAAAGCCCAAGGGTGTTTAATTCAAACCCAATTTCAAACCAATTTCATGAACATGAAGAACATGCAAACATGCATGAATTCAAATCAATTCAAAGCTTCAAAACATGCTCTAGAGAGCCAATTGTTTCCAAAACATGATGAAATCATGGACTACACTCAAAACATGGGCATGCATGTGACAATTTTACCATGAAACCAACTCACAACTCAACAATTCAAACATGCATGCATGAATTATGCTCTATATCAACATGTATGAACTAGAACATGACTTAGCTCTACAATTTAACATGGACCATGCAAGAATTAGCTCAAACACAAGAATGAGAAGATGAAATCCTTACCTAAGTCTTGTATTCAAGGTTTGGGAGCTCAAATATGCAATCTATACTTCAATTACCAAGCAATTCTTCAAGAACAAATCTACTCTCCCTCTCCCTCAAGGTCGGCAAGAACAAGAAGAGGGCTGAGAAAAATGTTTGTTTCAAGTGTATACAAGGCTCACATGTTATATTGAGATAGTGGCCACTAAGTGGTCTAATTGTAATTAAGTCAAACTTTGCAATTAACCCAATATTTAACCTAATTTAATCATACCTAATCAATTTTCAGATAAATACCCCGTAAAATCACATTAAATATGAGGGTCATGAAACATCAATCAATTCTCGGTTCGGCCGCCGATAAGGCCTTCAATTAGCAGTTTAAACATAACACGTGAACAGATCAACTAAACAATCAAACAGATAGAATACAAATTAACACACATACTCAGTCAATTCAGTTCCAATTTTTCAGTCAGTCAGTTCAGTACTTTAATCAGTTCAATCATCAGTCATAATCAGTTCGGTTTAACGGTAATCAGTGTTTATCAGTAAGCAATGGTGAGGGTTATTACAACATCTAATTGCATATTAAAGTAAAATAAAGAATCTTTCATTGATTTGTCCGCAAAATACGCCAATAAACTTCCAGCTTCCCTAAACTTCAAGTCCCGTTGTCGTTTGGTCCAAAGATAGTTTTTCAAATCTTGGCGAGTAAAACCAAGACATTCCCTTCCACCTGTTTGCCGAAATGCAAGCTCAAACGATGATCGTAATCTAATCCCAGAGGCCTCTGCCAAATCAGCTTCAATTGCTTGAGCTTTTGTAATTTTTCATTGCGAAGGCATCAAATGGACATATTCTTGAATATGAAGTGGGTGATTGTGATTGTACGGGGAGCAAATATTCCGGCGTGCCCGTATTCCTTTCTTCCGAGTTCTGTCGATGTCCGATCACCTGCGAGCAAATAACGGTGAGCTACCCGGCGGTGTGTGGCCGGAAACACCCTCCGACGATCAAATTAGCACACACCTTAGAGGGAATAGAGAGAAGGGAGAGAGTGTTTGAGTGTAAGGATTTTCTTACAGAGATGTTCGTCTATCTGCGTATGGGAGGCGCAGACATGCTTATATACCCTCTGCGCCCCATATCCACTCCCAGTCATCTCCTGACACGTGGCTCCGTTGTCCCATCTGTCAGCATAAACCTTGCTAAACATCACCTAATCTAACTGCCTGCCCATTCTCCTGGGAGCTCGGCAGCTGGGCAATTCCATCTCGGCCATCGTCTGCCATGCTGCGCTTCATGCCCAAGTACTCCAACAGCTAAGCTTAGATGAGGACCGGACTCGGCGGCATCTCGGCAAAGCCGAGCTTGGGACTACTTACGCTTGTCTGCGGTCAACCTTCCTGCCGAGCAAACAGGTACCTCGGTCCAACCTTGCCTTTCCTGGTGCTGGACTTTTCACCTGACCGGCTTCGTAATCACGGATCCTTGCAGCTCGGTCAATCAACGCGCTGCCTTAACCGAGCAGCTTCCTTCAAGGCCGGGCCACACAACTCGGCACAACTCTGTCCGGCCCAAATCTGTCCGGCCCAAATCTGTCTGGCACAAAGTCCATATCATTAATCTCCCTCTCAGTGATCATCAAAACAATCAGTAACCTCATATTTTTGGCTCTTTTTATTCAATACAACTGTCATAAGTGCCTTGCAACCAGTTCTTGTCTTTTGACGCGGCTTTTTAGTTTTGATATCCCTATTGTCTTCATGTCGGAACCCTTCTTTCGAACAAACAAACCTCCTAGAAGTGATCCTCTCTGTTTTTTTGCATGTGTTAGAGTATTCAATTCGAACACTGAAACCAGTAATCCTTTCGAACTCATTGTAAAAATTTTTTGCATCATCTAATGAATCAAACTCCAAACCTATTTGGGGTTTGTAATCTGGTATATTGAGGTTCGGATTGGCATCCCTATTTTAATTTTTAACAACAAAATAAATTATATTATGAAATCATGCAGAGTAATATAACCTCACCACGTTCTTTTTATATAATTTCTAGTGAACACATAATTGAGAACATAAATACCTATGATATTTTCTAAATAAAAGTTACACTTATCAAATTGATTGGAAAAATTATAAATTAGTCCCAAAAGTATAGAAGTTATTGTATATAGGTACATTCACAAAGTTATATAAACCATGTGAACATCTGGTAAAGAAAAAAAAGAAGCCATAGATATATAATATATATCCCTATATATGTATGTGTGTGTATGTATATTATGAACATATATACTCCTATAACGCTAGCTATTGAGAGACAGAGAATAGAAATCACCTGTTTGGTCCCAACAAATCTCTCATCCATGGAGGTTCAAAAGCTTTAGTACGCATTGATTCATCCATTCATTTTTTACGAATGAAGATTTTTGGTGAGGAGAGAAAATTTCTAGAAAAACAATCACTATCGTTTTTGAGCACGAAAAAAATCACCTATTGCTTTTGAGTGCGAAGATGAAAAGTCTCACCAGAAGATGACGATGAAAAGCCCTCAACGTTAGTTTGTGATCCTCCGTTAGTACAAAACGATGCCGTTCGATGTAAGGGTTAAGACTCTACATGTGTGGCCGAATCTCAACCTTTGATTGCTATATCTGCTGATGTGTTACGATCCTGTTGATTGGACTGTTTGGTCCAGTTTTAGCCCCAACATGAGAGAAGCCACTCTCAAATTGAAATTGTTTTTGACTATTTTGCTCTTAATATTTATGACTAATTTTTTAGTTGATATCATCAATCGTATTAAATTGACACTATGAAAAATAAAGGGTAAAATTAATACAATTGAAAATATAGAGACTAAGTTGACATAAAAAGCATATTATAGGGACCAATGTATAATTTGCTTCATATAGTATTATTAAGATTT